TAAAAAATTAATTTAATACTTTGGCATTAGTATTAGAAAAGTATTAGTCTAATACTAATGCCTATAGCTCTCGAAAACAGAACAAAATTGTTCCGTTATGGTAATTTTTTCTCAAAACAGAATACTTTTGTTTCGTTATGAGAAGCTGTTTTCAATAAAAGAGCAAAAGTGTTCTATTTTACGAAAAAAATTACCATAAAGAAGCAATTTTGTTCTGTTTTCGGAAGCTATAGGCATTAGTGTTAGTCTAATACTTTTCTAATGCTAATCCCAAAGTATTAAATTAATTTTTTAATTCTAACACAAGAGCATTAAGTTAAATTTTTAACCGAATGCAAAAGTATTAGCATTTTCCTAATACTGATGCTAGGCCGACACCCTTACACATATACTTAAATAGCACTGAGGGTCTTCTAACAACTTTTATCAACCAGAAAGTCAACAATTATATTTATGTGTAATCATAACGATTTAAGATTCGTTTAACATACGAGATTGACAAACATATTTTAAATTTCAATTATCGATCTTTGATATGATAAAAACTTCGAAAAATAGCAATAACATTCGATCTAATTACTGTTACTGCTGAAACATGTTTTCGTTATCTTAAAAAAGAAAAAAAACAGAGTTCTTACTTCAACATTGTCATTTTGTGCAGCGAATAGAGAACGAATGGAATTTTGTAACAACGTTCAAACAAAAATCATATAAATCTCCAATTTTTAGGTCATCATGACACAAAATAGCTACTTTGAGTTATGCGTTGAGAAAATAAAAAAACACTTGCGAACGATGGCTGTATAGTGTTTTGCATCATAAAAACAAGTTCTTGCTATTTATAAGCAAAAAAGGTTAAATGTTAGTGCAACAGCTTGCATATCAATTTTCAACACCATCTATCGATTGGATATTTCGATATATCATTTATTTTAACCAATGAAAACTACATGAAACATTCCCTTTCGGTTCAGTTTATTTATTTTATTAATTAAAAACGATGGATAATCGTCGACCTGCTCGTATTCATAGGTATGCATGTGTTGTTGTTTTTTTTTGTTTATTTCATGATATTCATGAAATATATTCTTTTTTGTTTTGAAGATTTCGACCAGCATTAATTACACAAGCTGATGATGCACTTCCTGATTATATGAATTTGATGGGTATGATCTTCTCTATGTGTTCATTGATGTTAAAAGTAAGTTATTTTAAAAAATAAAATAATTTCTTTAGAAAAATTGTTTTTTTCTTTTTTTATATTTTAGATAAAATGGTGTGCATGGGTTGCAATATTTGCTGGTATAATTAATTAAATTTAAAATTTATTTTTTTTTTCGAGTTGATTATCTATGTTTTTGTTTTTTGTTTTAGCATTGGTTGGTTTTGCTAATTCACGTACATCGGATGATGCAAAACAAGTTCTTAGTAGTTTTATGTATGTATTTAACTATTGAATTTTCATATGAAAATAACTGTTGAGATAATTATGAATGTATGATATTAAAGAAATGATAGTAGTTAACATAGTTTTTATAGAAACTTGTAGGATGTCGATGATTCGAAACTTCTTTTTTCTTTTTTTTATCAGAGTTGAGTAAAGTTTGTCGATTTAATATTAAAACTAGTCTATTGTAAATTTTATTCTATTGATTAAAATCTATTTGTTTAGGCTTTCAATTTCTGCTGTTGTTGTAACTTACATGCAAAATCCTGCACCAATGACTATACCATTTATGCAATAGAATAACATTTTGTTTTAATGTTTTTTCTTTTTTTTTGTCTGTTTAATTTCAAAATAAAAAATAAAATCTAGTTCATGTTTTATGTTGTTTTTTTCTTTTCATCATAATTGATTGGTTCACCAAGAAAAATAGTTGATGATAAAATTTGATTTAATGTATTTTCAAGATCATTTTTTATTTTTATATTTGTTGATTGAAGAAATTGAACATTATTACGTAATATACGTAATTCTTTATCTTGTTTTTGATTATTTTCATCAAGTTGTTCAGTTAAATTTTGAAATTTAATTGATTCTTTTTCAAGTTCATCACGTAATTGTTTACAATCATTTTCTAAATTATCTATTGTAAGTTCTAAATTTTTTTTTTCTTCCATTTTATATAAATATTGTCTTATACTATATGCCATACTACTTGAATATAATTCTTCATATGTATTCATCCATTGTTGATATTCATTTTTAATTCGTTCAAGTAAATAACCACGTTCAAAACCATGAATTTTCGTTATACGAATAAGTTCATCAAATAAATCATCATATATTTGACGACGTTTTGGACATAAACCATTTTCAAGTGCTAATTCTTTATATAATTGTACATGAAAACGTTCTTCTAATTGTCTAATATCATCTTGTGTACTTGGATTTGTTGATGGAATAAATATTTCATCATCTTGACGACCTAATGTTAATTTAGTTTTACGATTCATCTCACGTTTTTTTTTTTTTAGTTACCAAATGATTCTTACACACTATTTCTTTTCTAATGGTAGAGAAGATTACATTGTTGACTAAAGATATCGTTGTCAAGTATAATGTCTATAATATATAATCAAAGAAGAATAAGAAAGAATAGTGATAAGTTTATTCTTTATGGTGTGTAAAAACGAAAGAATAAAAAAATGATGAGATTATTTTGAATTAATTTATATATCGATAAACAATAAAATATATTTCTTATATGAGTATTCTCAAGCAGGAAAAAAATTGTAAACTATCTCTAAAGCGTAATAAAAAATGATACGAAACGGTCACAAATAATGCTCAAAAACGGATTCCTCTGTGATTCATTAAAATGATCGAATAGTAAAAATAGTTTTAAAAAATGACAATATACACCATTTTTTGTGACTGTTTCATATTGTTATAATAATATCGATTTTAAGACATTTTATCATATTTTTCTCTGCGTCACTATTTGTTTTTTATCTTCCCTCATTTCATCTGATTCCTTGTTACATATCTCAATTCATATAAAATTATTTGAATTTTCCTTAGACCTGAAATAACGAGTGTTATTTAGTATGACATCTGCTATTTTCAATATATCCTCTTTCTCTAGTATTTACTACGTTAAAGTTTGGATGAAAACTATATTGAATCATCTAAAGAATAGTGTAATTCACTCATCAATATTGATCATTGCTATTGTCAGATATGACTAGTAAAATGTCAGATGAAATCGTGTGAACGATATAGAATATTACTTTTTTGACTATTTTTATAACCTATGTTAACTATCTAATTCAATCATCACTTCAGGAGAAATGTGTTCTAAGTGATAATTTGCATTCTTTTTTTTTTTTTTTTGTAAGTGAAATTTCTCTTAATGAACTGCTTTAAGTTATATATGTTCACTGTTTTGGGGAGAGATAGCAGGATGCAAAATGGGTTATTAAAATGTTTGCAATAAGAATGTTTCACAATATGCATTCGATTTCGAGAAATTTCTGATGTGTATTGAAGTATAAAAATAATTCTATAGATTTTTAAAGGAAATTTTTGAGCGAAAACGACAAAAAAAAAACTTGATCTAGTAGAAAGAAATGTTGAAAATATAGAAATTCCTATTATTTTTATGTTATCCATCTATCGATCATTAAATGATTGAAATGAAACTACAGAGTTTATTTTAGAATTAAGAAACTAGACTCTAACGAAGAAAGTTACGTGACTGTGTTAAATAGACACAGCGAAATTTTTAGGAAATATTTTAAATCATAAACCTCAATATATTCTGATATAAATCAATAATTTGCGTAGTTTTTTTCAATTTAATTGAAACAATATTATCAGTTAGCTCTTATATTCATATCAAACGTAGAATGCAAAAATACCTAATGTATACCGTAATGTCAGCAATGGATTACAATAGTCGCCAAACTATATCCTATTCAATATATCCTCTATGTAATAATTGTTCATCATATGCTTTTTTTCATTAATATCAACCGTTAATATGAGTTACTCGTCAATAGAAAATCTAATTATAAGATGTTATTGTCAATACATTAAAAAAGCTTGAAGTGTGTTGTTCATTTAACTCAGAAATATATGAGAGAAGAGATTATCAAATGAAGTTTAATGAAAATAGAAACTGCATTTAGGTTGAAAAATTAATGTAAACTCTGGGAATGAATTTCTCTATATATAAAATTAAAAGTTCGCACATGCATGTATGTCAATTAATCATTTTACATAGATGTGTACATATACTGGTCAATAGGTACATGTATCATCACTCTTCATGTATATTGTTGGTCTCTCTTGCAAGACAATATAGATGCAAAAAAAATTAGATTGATGAAGAGAAAGTATACATGTTCAGACAAGAATTTAATACATTTAAATGTATCGAAAAAAAATCGGTAATAACCGTTCATATTTGTTGTTTGTTTTACATTTTCATGTATTTTTTTTTTTGAAAATCTATACTATATTTGAACATAGATATCTTTTTAACTATAGACAAGTAAATAGAATGTGAACGGCACAATCATAAGAAATAATTTTTCTATTTATAAAGAAAGCAACATAGAAGAAGAGAACACTATATCTTAGTCATAGCTGATTTTATTAATTTGATACTGTATGAAGTTACATTATACTACCTCCGAAACATAACGTCATATTAGGTGGTACTTACCTAAGTAGTCAATATAAAAATGTTTTTTCAAAAAGATCTAGAGTATCATAAACTTTTCTAATGAAAAATTTAGGAAAAGATCGAATATGTCAATAGATGATCAATAGTTTGTTATTATCAGTAGTATTCATATGAAATAAATTGTAAATATTTCGTTTGAGAAAAGGAGTTTTGTGTAAATATTTATACATGATCAGATTGATGCGTTATGAATTAATAATGCTGTATCATCAAAAAGGTGTTATCAAATAAAATTAACTAGACCGATTCTAATGTTTCTAACTATTTTTATTTAATAAAAAAAAATACCATAATGATAATAACATATATTTGAATTCGTCTAAAACTGCTAAAAAATAGACTCAGCGATCAAAAAATAGTCAAAATGGTTCAAAAACGAATCCATATGCATTTTAATGGTCATTTTCCCATTATTTAACTGATAGTCTTTATATACGATCAATATAAATTACATTGATATTTATTACTATATTCACTGTATTATAAAATATTGTTAACTTGATAATCATACTTCTTATGCTTTAGTGAGAATGATGGTATCAATTGATAAGTTGTACTTGAAATATTGATCTATTTATTTGTAGATAATAATAACACGATCTTTAACATAAACGAAATAAGATATTTTTTTTTGTATATGATAAAGATAGAAGTTTCAAAAGCTTTTATATATTTCATTTTCATATATCTGATTTATTGCTTTATTTTTAATATTTGAAAATAAAAGAGAATTATAATTCAAATTTTATTCTTTCTAGATGACGACAATAGAAAATCAAAATCAAAATGAAAAAATTTCTGAAAATGAAGAACTTGTTAAATTAAATAAACTTTTTGCTAATCGATATACTGATGAAGATAAAGAATATATTCAAATGGCTAAACCACGTCCTACAACTCCACCTATAGTTAATGATTGGGGTCAAGATAAAAATAATTATCGAAATCAACGACATTATTATTCAAATGATCGTCATAATAATAATAATAATAATAATCGATATGAATATCAACAACATAGAAATCATTCACGTGATAATCGTTATCGTCAAGATCGTGATCGAAGTCCATCATATTATCATAACAATCGTCAATAGAATATCTTTTGAATGTTAAATGATCAAATATATTATGTTGATATAATTTCATCTTTGTATAATAAAAACATGATAGATTTCAATTGTGTTATTCTAAAATTTTTCTTGTAAAATTTCGATAATATATAATATGGAATCATTATAGAATGATCATCTGTAAGATTATACACAATTTAAGCAAAATTTTAATTTTTAGTCTATTCATTATTTTCATATGTTAAATGTTGAGACATGCTATGAAATTATTTTAAAATATTTCAGTTTAACTTTAAATCTTTGAGTACGGAGAATTACTTGTTGAAAAAAAAATTTTTTTGAAAGACTAAATAAATGCTCTTTTTTTGTAATATTATGAAATACACTGTTCAAAATAATGTTTCTCAATTGATTTGATAAGTACCCGAATAAGTTCTAACTATGAATGAACACTGACTGTTACTTTTAAAGGTGACTATTACTTGAGTTTCACGTAATATGAACAGAATTGCATGTATTATACTTCAATGGGAAAAAAAGACAAAATTTGATCAAGAATGAATAGTTTAATATGAAAAATACAAAAGACAGTGCATTGTTAAAAGTGGTGATAACTTCTTTGATGATTGATTGTCTTTTGTCGTATTGAATTCAATTTATTTTTTCATGTCCAGTCTTTCAACATATTAAATATTGTTTATTTTTGAACATAAAATGCAAATACCTACAAAATGTTAAATCGGTTTTTTTTTGAATTCATGAAAATAAAACGATGACAATCTATTTATCAAGAATCGTTTTAAAAATTGACTTTGATTCATAGTTTTGATTGAACACTTAGAATAACTAAAATTTCGTAAATTTTTATTTACTTTTATCAGCCTATGTTTGTATGATATGTCTATGAAATGGATTAATGATAAATAAAGCAAAGAAGTCAGTACTTTTTGATCCGTCCTCATATATGTATTAGAAATCTTCGAAAGTGAAAAGAAAAAACGAATTTAAGGACAATAGAGGCTGTAAAATAAAACAAACCTGAAATTATTGACATTGGTTTTGCGATACATCCTATCTTTCTTTTTTTCTTTGATTACATAATTCTATGTTTAACAAAACATTTGAGTGATCTAGATGACTAATAGGACATTCCTATTGGAATATAACATATTTTTTTTGAGTACATTCATAATCAGAATGAAAATTTCTCATGAGAGTGATCTTTTCGCTGAAAAACAATCACTGCTATTTGGTATTGACCACTGGTATAACAACGCACATTTTTTCACAACTTTTAGGTCGCTTTTCTTAATGGTGTTACATTGGGCGAAAGCGAAAATTTCAGGAATAATTGTACTAGGTGTACTAGTGAAGGTTCACTATAAGAGAGGCTTTGGGAGTCTTGTAGTTTTTCCTGAAGAGGAGGACAAAATTTCGAAAATATCGATAGTAGGCCCCAAAGATGGCTTTGACCATTCCAATAAGCTTGATGTAAACTCTGATACACTCTCGAAAGAAATACTCTTAGGCGATCCCTTTCAAAGGTTGAATTTTTCTTAACTCGAAAATCATGATTTCTATTTAATAGAAATTACTTCATATATTTGTTTTCACAAAAAAAAGGAAGAAAATTTAACCAGTGATCTTAATTCATCTCAATCTCTTAATAAACTTGCTAGAAAAATCATGTGTATTTTTTCAAAACGATCTTTTAATGTGATCGGATCGTTCAAATTTTTTTGCACAAGTTAATATTTACATTTTAACATCTTCTAAATGCAATAAGACATTAATTCAAATGCTAATAAATATATTTTTTTACTTGTAAATAACTTTAAAATTTTTGTTTAAAAAAAAAATTGATGTTGTTTTTCTTTACTGTCTTATGAAACTGTATGAAAGAAAACGATTGATTTGATTTTATGTATGACTATTTGTACTTTGTTGTTGTACATAAAAATTACGAACAAGATATGATGTCATGAAAAGCTTGTTGTTAACATTCTTTATAGAAATGAACAGAAAACAAAAAATGACAAAAACAACTTGACTCGTCCAACCCTGTATTTCGTTCGGTATGAATATTTACGATTCTATCTTTTCGATCTGGATAAATGTAAATTATTTTTATAGAGTACACTCTAACTAAGTAAGTGCATTCATGTTTTTTATATGAATGTGCTGTCAATAGAGTAAAAGTACATCTTCATTATAATGAAGTACAATACTTCACATGTAGTTCGAAGTAATGAAGTCTCGCTATTTCTTATTCGATGTGTAGGCGTACCTGTATGCGTGTTCACGTGTATGTCTTTCTATCCTTTTCTTCTACCGATGGATTATCTCTTCGATTATCTCTCATATATGCCAAGGTTTTATTTTACCTCGTTTGTAAAAAAAAAAATTATTGAAAATTCTAACATTCTTTCTTATTATTATTTTTTTCCTTATTATGCAGCTGGAAACAGAAGATGCATAATGTTATCAACCTTATTTAATATCAGCTTGATTTCAAGTTGAATGAGTGTATTCAAGCTACTTTTTTTTTCGAATTAGCGTAAGCGTGTATATGTGAATACTGTGTACGGAAAGGATCATTTTTTTTTGTTCCTAAATAAACTCCTTAGATCGATTCGGAGATCAATTTTCGTTGGATTTACTACAGAGAAAGATCTTTGTAATAGTTTCTCATGAATATAGTGTAATATTATAATATATTCTTGGAAGTTCAATATAATAACGTTTGAATGAACATCTATAGTTAGACGATTTTTCCATGTTTTATATAAATAACCAAAATCAAACTATAATCCTTTCTTGCCTGTGACTAAAGTTTAAGGTCTAGGACCGAAATTCGTCTGGTAATGTGATCACTACGGCCTCTAACATGTGCAAAAAAAAAGCTTGAATCACATCACTTAAATGCTGATATAGTTGACGTATTGAATGTTCGGTAATTTTTATTGCATAGAAAAACCTATGAAAGTTACAGCAGAATGAACACTATGGTATTATTATCTTAAGCGTACGATAATTGCATTAGCTTCATCAATCATCATTTGTTGTAGTATATAAATTAAGTTTGAAAGATCTATTCTTCCAGTCGATGATATAATTGAAAATGATTAGTTTCAGTATAACAAACCCAAACTTTACATTTCTTGCAATAAGTGCTTGTCCTTCTTCAACAACTTGAAAAATGACACCTATAGGTGCCATTCGGTAAGAAAGGGATAATGTTGTTATTTACTCACCTATTGTTTCAAAAATTCAGATGAATTGGTAAGATTGATTTTGATTTCAAAACCACGATCTGTTTGAGTATAGATAATTAATTGGAAATTTCTCAATCCGATTTGATGAGATTGGAGTTTTAATTAATTTTTTTTTTTTTTGAAATTTATAACTTATTTTAAATGTATATTTGATGACCAATTACACAATGGATTAAAATCTTCAAAAGGAAGAAATATTTCCTCGGATTTTAATGAAATAATTTTTTTTTTGATAGAAAAAAATAAGAAATACTATTACAATTAGACTAACTTATTCAAAATCGCAAACAATTGTGATTTTGACTTGAATATTTGTTTCAAGGCTATTATCATCTATAGGGTTCATTCTCTTTTCTCATTTAATTAAATTTTATGGTCAATTAACATCATTCTATCATTTTATAGATAGTCGATCAGCAATCTATATAGTCTAAGATAATTTGAATCTAGCAAAAAACTATTGAACAAAGAAGTCATCATCTTAGAAATATAATAAAAGATATTTATTTCGACTAAGAAAATAAACTGGTTTCATTAGTTTTAATACATTCGATTTTTTTTTATGAGACAAATAAAACAAAAATTTAATTAATATTTCGAACAATAGACAATAATTTCTCAGTAATACAATGCAATTAAAATTATATTAGACAATCTTTATTTTTCTTCCGTCATTAATCAAATAAGATATTCAATGTCTATAAGACAAATTGTACTTGCATTATCAATGACATATTTTATAATAAATAACATCGAATCTATTCTTACTGAATTCAACATGATGAAATTTGATCCAATAACATAGAACATCACTATGAAAGATAAGAAGTCTTTTAATACAATCTAATTCTTTCCTTTATATGATAGGCTATTAAGAAATATATGAAGTACATATACCATATAAAAACATAACATTAGCTTTTTGTTTTTAATCTTGATAATATACAGATGGTTATAAATTACACATAAAAAGAGAACGGGTCAGAAGTGCTGACTTGATTTGTATAATAAATTTTTCTAAAGTAGAATATGTGGTTGTAAATTTGTTTCTATGATGAAAAGACGCTCTACAAAATGACTATCGATTGAGCTTGCTAACTCATCTAGTAAGAAAGCTATAAGCTTAGAAATATTCTTCACAAAAAAAAACTTGGTTAACTAAATTTATAATTTACCAGTCATATACATGCTTTTACGTCTATCATTTTGACGTTGATTTTGTATCCAGTCAGTAAAATGAATAGAACTATCTTTTGGTATTAAATTCTTTATAGAAATTCCAACACAAAACATAACATCACATGGATATTTTACCTTTGATGCTTTTCTTAAATCAGTAGAAATTTCAGATGAATCTTCAGCATAAACGAAATCATTTTTACTATTTTGAAAACTTTCTGTTGTAAATGTTTCTGAAAAATCCGTATTAATAATTGTGTGTTGTTTCATGCTGTTAATTTTTGAGCTTTTCTGAGTTTGAAAGGTTTCAATTTTAACTCTTCAATTACTTCTCGAACTGATGTTCTTTTTATTTTCAATGTTTTTACGCTGTACAGGGGAAACCACTTTTTCTTTACTTTGACCTTTCTTTTTAAATTTATTAATCTTTTTACTATTCTTTTGAATTGCCCCGTTTGAATAGTTCTCGGTACACCATATTTTGGTCTATCTTTTACAGTTTCCTTTCCTAATATTCGATTTATTTTTCTTCTTAATGCATTACGACGTAATGGAAAAGGGATTTTCAAAAGATTGTAATTCATCGGTGATGTTAGCTGTTCTCCAGGTGATATTCATTTCCTTTAAAGAAACAACGAGTCTATGAAGTTGTTGCTCTAGAGTAAGCGTATTTGACATCTAGAATTAATTATATAATGTGCTTAAAGTAATTTTGCAAGTAAACTGAATGTTAAAGCTGTAATTAAATTTAGTTGTTCAATTTTTTTTTGTTCTGAGAGGATCACGGTTAATTTTTATTTTTTGTGAAGAATATTTCTAAGCTTATAACTTTCTTACTAGATGAGCTAGCGAATTCAAACAATAGTCATTTTGTAGAGTATCTTTTGCTGCATCTTTTTATCATAGAGACAAATTTATAATCATATGTTTAACTTTAGAAAAATTTATTATACAAATCAAGTCAATATTTCTAGCCTACTCTTTATATATTCTGCATGATAGAAATCCTAAGTATTAATTATTGTTTTGAATATATTCATTTAATATTCAATTTTCATAATTAATGAAATTTTAAAAGACACAAAAAAAACAGCAAATAATATTTTAATTTTCATAGAATAATTCTTTTATCAATATGAGCTTGTATTATTAAGAGATTATTTTGTTCTTGAATAATGATTTATTATTTATTATTTGAAAAATAAAAACTAGAAAGTCATTTGAATTAACTTATTATTCATACCGAGAATGTTCTCGATTTATAATAAATTAGATCCTATGATGCATGTGTATGTCATTATAATCATTAAAATTACACAATGATATGAAAGACAGAATTAACAATGAGGATAAAATGAGTATGACCATTAAGGATGAACTACTTGAGGATCTGACATCTTTATCAATAAGAGCTCACGAAGAGAAACATCTACAGACAAAGTAAAGACATCGTGTTATTCTTTAGGAATTTTTTCACTTTTCTTTTTTTTTTTTTTGTCTTTTATGAATTTTCTTCTTGTTTTGCTTCTATTCTGTTTTCTCCTTTGATGTGCGTACGTGAGCGCCCAAGCGAGCGTGATTATTGTTAGAACTCGACAATGACGAGCAAAGAAGAGAAAGAAAAGAAGATGAAAGAGAGAGAGAGAGAGAGAGAGAGAGAGAGAGAGAAAGCCAATCGCCTTCTCTTGTTATCATCATTGTCGTCCGTTAGCTTGTCTTGTGTGTCGACAAGCTTACTCGATTCTTTCTTTTCTTTTACGATCAATATACGTCTCATCATGAATGCTTGAATGGCTTATTTCTCAAATATTTGATGAGAACTCATTTCAATTAATAAAATAGTTGCTGAAGATAATACAGAAAAAGTACGCAAAAAAGCGTATGTATACATATATATGCGTACAAAACGTATTTACATTCGTCAATGCTTATCGTGTTATTGTCACAAAAAGTATTATTGTTTGTCATCCTTATATTGATTGTATGTCTAATTGATAATGATCATTGTTATCAAGATAATAATAATCCAATACATACTTGTCATTATCCGACAAAATTTCGTGCACCACAAAGTCCATCTTATGAATATCTCTATATTCCAGGTAGTAAATTTTAAATTTTTATAATTCAAGTCTATAAAAAAAAACTTAAATTAGGAGATGTTTTACTTGGTGGCTTTTTTCCTATTCATCAACCACCATCAAGTGAATTGGGAAGTATGCAATGTACAGCAATTAAACGAGAACGTGGTATTCAACGTCTTGAAGCAATGTTATTTGCATTAGATATTGTTAATACACGATCATCTTATTTGATGTCATCAATACTTTCTCATAGTAAAATACGTTTCGGTGCACTTATATATGATTCATGTGATTATGAACCTTATGCTGTTGAACGTGCTTTAAATATGCTTTTACCATCACTTGATCAATGTTTATCATTACAAAAACGAAAAGATTCACCAGTAATTGCTGGTGTTATTGGTAGTGCATCGAGTATAGTCTCAATGGCAATATCAGATATTCTTCGTTTAGCTGAGGTAATAGAATCGATTGAAAACAAAAAAAAAATAAAAATAAAAGTGTTTTTCTTTTTCTTTCAAATTAAAGTATTTTCAATTATATTGTTATTCGCAAAATATCATATTGATCATAATAAAGTTGTTTAGTCTCTTGAGAAAAAAAAATCTACATAAAATATTACCTTGAAATATTAGTAGAAGAATATTCCGACAATCAAAAGAAAAGAAAACGATACTTCCGGTTCTAAACTAGTTGTATAATAAATCGATGGCATTTATAAAAGACTTATTTTTTTGTTTTGTATCTTGTTTGATAAACATATAAATCAATTAGAGAAAATCATTTCGACCAAGTTGATATATCAATTTGTTTCTTTGAACAGATTCCACAAATATCTTATGCTTCAACAAGCACAGAATTAAGTGAAAAACTACGTTTTCAATTTTTTTCTCGTGTTGTTCCACCCGACACGTATCAAGCTGAAGCTGTAAGTTGACAATAATCCTAAATTCTTATCTACACATAGTCTTTTTTTTATTCTATCTTTTGTTTGATTTTCAGGTAGTTAGTATTATTCAATTTCTCAATTGGACGTATGTTGCTGTTATTAAGGAAACTGGTTCCTATGGTGAACGTCTTACCGATGATTTTAAAGCAAAACTAAAAAATAAAAGTATTTCTTTGTTGCATAAATTATCTTAAAAAAAGTAAAGGAAAAAAAAAAGGATGTTTTTTTTCTTCAATATTTTTATAGCAATTTGTATTGCTGGTGAACTATCTGTTAATATAAAAGATTCAAATTCATATTTACGTGTTATAAAAGAATTATATGAAGATGAAAAATATCGTTTTGTTATTGGTGTTGTTGTTTTTGCACAAGAAGATTCTGTTAGGTAAATCATAAAATAAATATTTTATTTATTTTTAAATAAATGATTTTTTTTTTCTATTTCGTAGACAACTATTAAATCAAACATCATCACGAAATGAATTAAATGGTCGTTGGGTTTTTCTTGGAACAGATGGTTGGGGTAAAAAATGGTATCCTGTAGAAAATTTTGGACGAGCAGCAATTAATGCTATAACGATTGCTCCAAAATTATATCCTATTTCAGGTACTATAAAAATAGATATTTTCTATTTCTCTCTCTCTCTATATATATATAAGATTTTACTTCTTTATCCATTAGATTTTGATGAATATTTTAAAAATTTGATACCATCTAAAAATACTCGAAATCCTTGGTTTGTTGAATATTGGGAAGAAACATATAAATGTAAATTGGATCATACACCAACAACAATATTTAATCAAAATTATACACGCTCATGTTTAGGTTAGAGTTTTACAAATGAAAATTATTTCTCTTTTTTTTTCGTATCAATAGCGGATTTAGAGAAACGATTGCCGCCCTCTCTTTCGAGCTATTTTTCTCAGCAGAAAACGCTCTACGAATGAACCGATCTGACCTCTAACAAGCTTCAAAATATTTCGATGTTCTAGCGAATGTAATGAGTTCAAGGCATCCTTCTATCGGTATGTCACAGGAATCTTTGGATTTTTCGTACTTGATGTTCGTTTGATTTTGGGCCAGAACTTGATGTATTCTGTAGACCTTAGTGAACTATGTCAGTTATAAAAAGAGTTCGTACTCATGCCTTGTTTTTGAAGAGAACGAATGTTTTTTAGTGAATTTCGACTGTAGGATCCTACATTTACAGCAAGACTATATTTTTGAATTTTCACCTGAAACTTTGTCCATATAAAGAAGTCAATTAGACTGACTTCCATAAAAATTCGAACTAAGACTCTCTCCGAGAGGTTCAACTTTTAAGGTAAAGGTGTATTTTTCGAAAGCTTCTTACCTCGAAGAGACTTAGTCTGAATTTTTATGCAAGCTAGTCTAATTGATATCTCTATGTGGGCAAAGTTTCAGATCGAAATTTGAAAATATGGTTTTGCTATAAAAGTTAGGGAGATAAATTTCTAATATTTGACTTGTTAATAAATGTTGAATTCTTTTGTGAAAAAAATTGAACATATCGATCACGTTCCATAGTAGAGAAGATATTCTTGGACTTTGAAACACTAGATATATATTTTCAAAGCTCATTCATATAACTAATAAACCCATATATTCAAACATCTCTGGGCTAAGAATCAGAAAGCTAATCGTTGATAATACACTCATCCACTTTGTTGTTGTATATTAACAGGATATATATCAATAAAAGTTTTTTTTTTGTTTTTGTAATACACAATTTTTACTCATGTTATTATTCAATATTTAATAAAATAAAGCTTTCTTTTCTTAGATACTGATAGTACCTATACCAATTTTTCTGTACCTTATTTTCAAGAAGGTTATGTTCATTATGTAGTCGATGCTGTATTTAGTCTTGTTATTGCAATACAAAAATTAGTTGATGAAAAATGTTTAAATTCTTCAAATATTACTCTATTATGTAATGAATTTTATCCATTTGATGGTATAAGATTACTTTCAATATTACGAAATCTTTCATTTCGTAATGGTAAATCAATATATATATATGTATTGAATTTGATATATTTCCTATTGTATAATATTTTTAGATTTATCAAGACGAAATATTAAATTTACACCAAATGGAGATGGAATTGAAACATATGATATATTTCAATATCAAATTATTGATTCAACAGAAACACTTGATTATTTTCCAATTGGAGAATATAGTGATAGTGATCATAGTAATGAAAGG